GCGGGAGCGATAGGGCACCAGGTGACGGAGGAACTCGGCGTTGGCTACCACGAGTACATCGGAGATTCTACCTGTGGATACAGGAGGCCGGTGAGGCGAGGGACCTCGTTGAAAGGACCTCGGGCTACAGAGCAACCTCGCTAGCCTGGGTGAACCTCAGCAAGAGGACAGCGGCTGAAGGAATCGACCTTCAAGAGGATAGCGAGCCGGAACCTCCAAAAGGGGATAGGCAAAAGCGCTTGGTCAACGAGGGCTCCTTGGCGCAGGCGAGGGAAGAGCGGCTGCAGGTGACCTGGGCTATAAGACTGCAGGAGGAGCTAGAACTTTGCGAGGCTCCGGTATTGAAGAAGCTCCGTGGGAGCTTGGGTCCGGATAGAGCGGCAGGACCGTGCCGGAGGCCATCCTCAAAGCTACAGAGTGGACGGCTGAGTCCAGAGCCACCTCTGGCAGGATAGCCTGGGCGATCAAGGATACGGTCGTCGAGAAGCTATCGCGGAAAGCGCCCTGGACGAGGCGAGCCCCCCGATACCCGGCGGCTATCCTGACCAGATGGAGCGTCCAGTCTTGGATACGGGCGTCGCCGTTGGCTGGAGAGTCTGGGGATGGTAGCCTCCGTTGGTCGGACCTCCAGGCTATGGTCCCAAACGAATTGGCTATGGCGGAAGGACGGCTATCGACTATCCTCCGGCGAACAAAGACGACAGGGGCTAACAGGCGCATACGGGAGTTACCTTGTATGCATCTCGGAGAGAGCCTATTTCGAGGACCCTGGTCGAAGCTGAAGACCCATGCTGGCTATCAGCGGGACTACTTGATGCCGAGGCTAGGAACAAGGGGGCCCTAAAGAAGAAGATGGCTTCCCTACGCAGACGCGATGGTGGCTACCGCAGGGCTCCTGGCTATGGTCGGGATACCAGTGGTTGCTAGGGGCTACTGGTCGGAGCACAGCGAGAGGGCGGTGCTGCCCACCGGCGCCTGAGCCTCCCGGCGGATAGGGATATGCTTGGAAGATGGAAGCTTGAGGGGTCGGATACCTACATCCGCTCCTATGGTGGGCGGGTGGCTAGACTCCAGGCCATCTACGCAGAGGCGGCTAGAGCACGAGATCGGGAAGAGCAGCTAGACGAGAGAGAGATTGCCGGCGACCTTGGGGGCTGGCTCCTCCGAACCTTGCAAGGTTACCGAGCAGGACACCGACAGGCTTGCGGGAGAGCTACGGTGCGAGTGGGCTAACGAGCGCATCGTGGAGATGGTGGCTTGGTCCTAGCAATCCTCCCGAAGATAGACCCGACGACTCGGCTAGTGAGCCGGAGCTGGGACCGGAACCGCACCGGAACCGGCCGAGGCTACTTAAGAAGGTGGTGCACCTACATTATAGTAGAGCTACCAGGCAAGAAGTTTCGGCTACACAAGGGGGGACAGGATTGCGACAGCGACACCGATCCACAGGTCTTCCTCGGTGACTTCAAGGTCTGGTGCTGAGTTCTTACAGCAGGTTCATTGTTCATGTCCTGCAATGTCACACGCACCTGAATCGAATTGTTGAACGTCTACACAGGAAACCCTCGCTGTCCCTCCCGGTTTCCAGGGAACCCGACCCGCCCCCTCTGAGCGGGCCTTCGGCGCGTTCCAGACGACGCGGTCACCTGGTTTCAGGTCCACCGCGCGCCGGTGCCGGTTGGCAAGCTTGGCCCTCCCAGCTGAGCTGCGATCCCAGTGGGCCTTAACCGCGGCAGACAGTTTAGAGAACTGCTTAAACTGCCCGCGGGCCCACTCAGATATGGGCTCAAACTCCAAAGCCGCCCTGAGAACATCCTTCTCCAGGGGGAGAGCGAGCGACCAGCTCCGCTCCAGGTCCCGGGGGGTGTACCCGTGTGGTCTGGAAGTATTGTCTATGACATACTCCACCACCACGAGCCACTCACTCCAGGTGTCTCCAACTATGGAGCCCACCTGGCGGACGACCGCCCCGAGGCACCGGTTTTCTGGAGCAAGCACGTCTCAAACGGGTCCTCCACGGCAGGACCAGTGTCGTCAAGCTTGGGCCTGCGCGCCCACACCGAGGGGGGCCTCCCACCAGGTGTTCTCACTGGGCACGTTACCCGTGACGACCGCTCTGTCCTCGACGGGGCGCTCGAAAGAGCCGCCGCCCAGGAACGCCGACGCAGCCGTCAGAAGGGCTAGGATGGTGATCCTGGTCAATTGGCGCTAAGGCGCCCCCTAGACCGGGAACAGGACGTACACCCCTGGTAGCTCCTCCGCGGCCCCGCAGGAGGAACACTCCAACGGAACTTCCGGAAACGCGGCGACGCCGCAAGACTCGCAACTCTTACCGGCGCCACCCGAGGCGAAAACCGTCTCGACCGCCCCACAGCAGAAGTCTCCACGAGGCCTGTCCGGACCTCAGCGACGTTGTCCCGGGCTCCAAGGTCCAGTCGGTAGCTCCCGTCGTCCAGAATCCAGGGACAGCCTCACTCCGCACGGACAAGGGTGAAGTCAATCGCTCGACTTTCGGGCGGCGATTTTGCAACGCACGAATATCTCGGGGCCAGGCCGTGACGCCTCGGCCGTCTTGCCCTCCAGCAAGGTAACGCGCAAGACTGCCGCGCCCTTGAGAGGGACAGGCGCGCCGGAAGCGATTCCGTGCACGAATTCCGGGTGCACCCATTTCTCGAGTCGCACAACCGGAAAACGAGGGTCTTCGGTGCCAATACCGAGCTCGGCCGCACGGTTCAGCATGCCAACCAAGAGCTCCTCGGTGACATGGTTGGCGCCAGCGCAACCGTCGAGCATGCACTCGACGCGCTTGCCCAACACCTGAACCAAAATTGATGCCCCGTCAAGCGTCCCTTGGTCAGGGCGACGTGTTCACCGTCCACCCGGACCTCCCGTTCTTCACGGGACTCCCCGAACATAAGATGTTTATTCTTAATCCGGAGATACACTGCCTCTGGGTCCGAGAGCACTTCTCCGGACTTCCAGGCCGCCCTGTAGGCGTTCGTGTACGTCTTCGCGCGTGACCCCTTGCGCCGCGCTCGAAGGGCTAGGAGTTTCTCCCGCGCAGACATGCCACGGCAGTTATTCGCCAGGCCACAGACGTCTTCGAACTCTTCGTAAAAGAGGACAACGTCCTTCGAATCACTCTTGTCATCTGTCAAGGTCGGCCAGTTCAGGTCCGTCTTGACAGAAGTGATCGAATTCTGCCCGCCGCGGGAGGACAGAGCCTCTTTCAAGGCCTCCGTCTGCTCCTTAAGGGCAGTGTGTAGCCATGCACCTGCCCGGCGCCGTCCGTGACCGACGCGCCGCCATCGGAGCCCCGCCTCAGGGCTTCGATCTCCATCTCCAGCGCTGCCAGCCTGGCACGCAAAGGAGAGTCCCCCTTGTCCAAGTCGCCGACGCCTGCTCCGGCCGGCGGTGCGGCCGCAGCTTGCGGGGCGTTGGACAAAACCGCCGCCGTAAGCACCTTGGGCGCGGGGGCCGCCGCCTTGGCGACACTCCCTGCCACGGGCACAGCCGCCGACGGGGAAAACGCCGGTGGAGGCAACGGTGGCGGCGACAGCGCCGCACCCGGGGGAACGTCGGAAGGGGAGCTCCAAACCTTATCGGCGTTAGCACTCCTGCTGGACGTCGGCCGCGTCAGCGCCGTCGCCACCCTCCCTGAGCGCTGCGACCGCAAAGCGGGTCCGCAGACGCCTGACCATCCGGGTCGGGTGCCAGTCGCCCCCGACCTGGGCAAACTCCTCTGCCAAAAGCGTTGCCTTAGTGGTGAGCATCGCAAGCTCACCGGCCGTGATCGAAACCCCATGCGCGCGAAGCGCCAGAGCGATACGAGCCATGCGGTTCATGTAATCCGCTACGGGCTCTTGATCTGGCCGATAGAGCTCGCGAAGTTCCGCCTGCAAGGACTCAGCCGTGCCAGGCACTGACCCTGCCGTAGAAGGCGGACCAGAACGTCCCGCCTGACCGTCGGTCAGGGCCGGTACTGCTGAGGGAGGCGCGCCTGTAATGGCCGCGACCATCCCAGTGGCCATGGCCGAGAGCGCGCCGCCCGCGACTGCTCCAGCGGTCCGCGGTGGGCCGCCCTGAGACGCGGAGCCATCTCCCGCGTCAGGGATCAGCTCCGGGCCCTCTCCGGCTTCTTCGCCGAGGGCATCTTGAAGAGGATCAACCTCCTCCTCTTCTTCCTCCTCCTCTTCCTCATCATCATCATCCTCTGCATCTTCGGTATCATAGAGGAAGGCCATGACGGAGCGCCAAAGGGCCCCTTCCGCTTCGGGCGAAGTATACTGACCGTCGCGCTTACGAAGCGGTCGGCTCCCAGTGGACTTCCGCCACTTGAGCCACGCGACGTCCCATACGTCGCGGGTAAGGGACATCACCCGCTTCAATGGCCTGAAGCAAGGTGACCCCTTCGGGTTGCCCAGCCACCTCCGCCGACATGGCGAAAGATAGCACAGGGGGAGCGGAAACCGCCACACCCACCAAAGGGCCGCAAGCGTGAGCTCAAGCCCACGCGTCCGGGGCGGACCGCGGATGGGCGAGCTAGTCAAGCTCGCGCCACCAACGGGCCGCGAAGAGATTGAGAGCGTTTCCCAGAACAGCCCCCAATTGTGAAGCACCGCAAACCGGTCTTGCAAAAGAGCAAACAGGGAGCGGCAGCTGCTTTTTGCTTCGCGAGTCCACTCGCACGATCTCAGTCCCTAAGCCTGCAAAAGCGCAGGCCGTCGCGAGTAAGCAACTCCGCGCGGCGAAGCTACCCTAACTCACTACAGCCGTGCACACTTGGCAATGCTTAGAAGCAAAGCACTTGAGCCAAAAATGGCGTTGACAAATTATGTACAACATGCAAAACTACAAAGCTAACAGCACGCTGCAGAGACATGTGCACTGACACAGGTATGTGCACTCACAGTATGTATGTATGTATGTATGTATGTATGTATGTATGTATGTATCAGTCCTGGGCTTTTTGGGGCCCCAAAACGGGGTCGGTGCAGCAGGCTCGGCGGTGGCTTGGCTGCTGCATCGGGGTGCCCCGGTGGCCGCATTGCTGCCAGAAGAGCCAGGTGTGGGGCCAGATGGGGCAGGCTTGAGAGACAGAGACAGACAAAGAGAGAGAGAGAGAGAGTAACTGAGCAGCAGAATCGTGGATGGGGCAGCTCGACCGCGCAGGCTGAGGGCGGTTCAAGCCCTTGAGCAAAGCAAAACAACTGAGCAGCAGAGGTCCGGCGGCCCTTGGAATCCGATTGCGCGGATTGAAGCTGCTGCAGGCTTGGGGCACTGCGCTGGCAGGTGACCGTCGTTTGACTCCGTGTAGGACCTGGGGCAGCAGGCCGCGCCAGCAGCGGCAGCCGTAGCAGGACCGGCGGGCCTTGCACATTTTTTGTTGGGTTTTATCAATTTGAGGAGAGGCGGTGCTTCCTGTTTTTGTATTTTTACCGTGCACGGTTGCCTGCATGCAAGTGGCGGCATGAGGCGAATCGGCGCTTTGATTGAGGCAGTTGGTGCCGATCTGGTGTCGGAGACAGCTTAAAGAGTCTCTGAAAAAGGCAATCCAGAAGCTGCACTCCAATCGATCGTCCACCCGGTTGAGCCATATTCGCTTGAATGTCTGTAGATGAGCTTTGCCAGCTCGATAGGACGCGTTGCATGCTAGCTTCTGAGACTGGACATGGCAGACAATGTGCAGCAAGGGCAATAGACATTTTGACATGCAAAGACAGCCTGGGGCCACAAACCAAGCTTTCAACAAGTATCCTCTCCTGCCAGGCTGCTTGCGCGATCCAGAGGAACTCTGGCATGTATCGCTTTGCGAGTGTGTGAGAGGGTGGGTGCACGGCGGCCGCTGCTTTAGGCAGACGTCGAAGATGCACATGCTTACATTGGCCGTTTGTGTCATCGTGGCCGGAGGTTCGTGGTCGGCGTGCTGCCGCAGAGGTGGACCCGCACGACGTGACAGTGTGGGCCAGCGCTTTTGGGACTTGAGGCCCTCGCCGCGCTGGAGGTGACCGGTGACGTGGCACCTCGCGCAGTGCCCCGGCTTCGCAGGCTGCTGGAGCAGGAGCTGGGGAACACGGGCCTGCACGCTGCACACCGCTTCGTGGGCAACGCTGCAGGAGGCCGACCCGCAATGTTTGGCACCTGGAGGGAAGGGAAGGGATCAAGAAATGGGGGGGAGGCAGCCCACGCTTGAGGCCGGGTAGCAGCAGCGGTTGCCCTGGGCTCCTTGGGCAGAGATGGCTGCTTGGCCGCTGAAGAGGCCTTGTGGCACCAAGGCCAGGTCACGCAGTCACGCAGCCGTCACGCAGCCACGACCTGCAGCCGTCACCTGCACGGAGCTGCCAGACCTGGATGTGCGTGGTCTCGCCTGTGTGGCACTAGAGGCTTCCAAGGAGGCGCAGGGTGCCGAAAGAGAGAAGGCCGAAGGCTGAAGGCCTCAGGAAGAGTCTCGTTGAAGGAGATAACCGACAGCCGACAGCCCCATCCCCCTCACTGACCTCGCTCTTGCCTCACTCACCTCAGTCTCTCGCTCTTTCCCTGCAGCTTTGCCGCTTGCCGGGTTCCGGAAAAACTGAGAGGCGTCGACCAGCAAGGTGCTGGTGCGGTGGCTCCAGGTGCGGCATGGCACGGCGAGCATCGGCGAGGGTTCTGAGCATGCGCTCTGCTCTTGCAGGAGGGCGGTGCGTCGGAGGCGTCGTCTGCTCTCAGACTGGTCCCATGGCGGTGCTCTGAGCCGAGAGGTCTCTTTGAGGGCCAGGGCCTTGCAGGCCCGGGCGGGGCCGGCAGCAGGGGCGGTTTGATCGCTGCTCCGTTGAAACGCGGGAGGCGCTGGCCCGGCTCCTGGCCCGGCGGGCGGCCCGGGCGACGCGCCCCCCTCCGGCCGAAAGTGAGCCCGGCGAGCGCGAGCTGGCGCTGGAGACGGAAACCCTCGTCGCGGTCTTCGCCGCCGCTCAGAGAGCAAGAAGCAAGCACCAGCGAGCGAATGCTTCTTCGTAAGTGAGTTTTGAGCAAGCAGACGAGTCGGCGCGCCTGTTGTTTGAAAGAGGAGAGATACTGTAGCGATAGCTGATTTCGAGAGAAGGAGAAGGACGATAAAAAGACTCCTGAGGTGCACGCGACGGATCCCGATGCCGCCGTCCGGGTCAGAGCCGGGAGCCTCATCAGAGCTGGCTTTGATCCAATTTTGGTCCTTGAGGAGGCATCGCTGCTGGGCCTGGGAGCCCTTTGCCGGACTTGCGAGAGGAGAGCTCAGAGCACGGCCCCCGAATTTGAGCCTCCGTCAGCCGTCGCATCGCAGTTGCCGCGAGCTGGCACTCCCAACCTTGGCGGCGGGGTTGGACGACTCAGAAGAGGCCGTACGAGAGGCACCTCGAGAGAGTCAAAACAGATCAGCGACGGAACGGTTCTGAGCTTTGAAAGCTCGCAGGCTGCCGCGTCCTTCGCGCTCGCGGTGGAAGAGCGGGAAAAGGGTGCTCGCTGTCGCAGTCCTTGCACCGGCGATGCACTGTGCCTCAATGCCTTCCGGCGCACGTTCCGCAAGCGCCTGCAGGTGTAGTGGATGAGAGCGAGCCCTCCAGCAGCCGAGTGGTCCTTCGAGTGCTTTCCATCCTGGACAGGAGGGCAGGAGACGGGATGCCCAGTGCGATTCGGTTGCGCATCACGCGCGGCGCAGCGACTGAAAGCACCGGAGCACGGACGGTGAGCCCATTTATTGTGGAATCTTGCGCCCGCCCAGAATCGACCCACCCATCAGTAGTTGCAGAAGAAGCAGCAGTAGCGACAGCGGTAGTAGAAGTCGTCGCACTCGTCGTCACAGTGGCACTAGCAGTGGAAGACGCGGCAGCAAGGCAGCGGGAGCCAAGCTTGCGTGAGGGTGGCCCCCCCCCTGTCCGGTGGACCGGGTGCCAACTGTAGTACAATGCATGCTGTCTATCTGTCTACGAATCTATTTGTTGATGTATCTATCAGTCTATCTGCCGATCTATCGATCTATCGGCACTTATGGTCTGACCGCAATTTTTTTGATCCTGTCTGCCTAGTCTAACCTGCCTAAGCTAACCTAATACGTAACCTCTCTGCCTGTCTGTGCATTCATCCTGCGAAAGTACACTAGTCCAGAATGCGCACCAAACTACCCTAAAGTAATTCCGTGCACAAGCTCACACGACAGAGACCAAAGTAGCCCTGAAGTTCGGAAGCGCCTTTTGTCTGCAAGGGCGAAGTGGTCTTGAGCCAACGCTGCAGGATCGCCTGGCAAAGTGCTCCCCGAACTTACATGGAACAACCAGAAAAGTTGGCTGCGCATCAACATGTAAAGTTCAGGCCATCAGGTAAAGGTTGCCCTGCCTGTCGCTCATATCGTGTCTTTATGGTTTCCCACACATTAAAGTCTTGCTCGAAGGTTGCTGGGTTGAACTTAAGATCCAACAATTGACAATTGCGTCAAAAGTGACGTGCTCCGCGTGGCTCCTGGCAGCGAGAACTTCTTGTAAAGTCTTCTCCATGTTTCAAAGCCGTTGCTGTGTTCGGTCTGTCGAACAACAAGTTTCGCCGAATCTTTCACAAGTTGCGAAATCAAGTAATGTAGCTTTCGGGAGAAAAGTACTCGGTTGGCGGTCTGTTCCGGATCTACATCACCTGTGCCCAAAGTGACTGTTAAATCAACATCTGTAAAGTCACCTTGCGCAGCCGTGCGCATTTCGGCATTATCCATCAAAGTCACAGCAGCTACCTCGAACATCGAAATGTACGCTTTAAAGTTCCATGACCATTCTTCCCAGTCTGCTGGGTTACCTGAGAAAGACTCTGGCAGAGGAAGCCGAAGCTTCCCTGTAAAGTTGTCTTCACCTCCTCGTGCCATGTCGTTCTACCAAAGTTCCTTGGAGCTTTCAGCTCCGCTACCATGCGAAAGTACACTAGCCCAGAATGCGCACCAAACTACCCTAAAGTAATTCCGTGCGCAAGCTCACACGATTGAGACCAAAGTAGCCCTGAAGTTCGGAAGCGCCTTTTGTCTGCAATTGCAAAGTGGTCTTGAGCCAACGACGGTTGGCAAAGGTCCAAGTCTGTTATTTTCACACATCCCTCCCTCCCTCCCTCCCTCCATCCATCCATCCATTTGTTGTAGCAAGCGCGAGATTACCGAGCCACCGAACGGGCGCGAAGAGTTTCAACGTGAAGATGCGACCCTTTGCTGTGGCGGTGGTGATGAGGCGCGCAGCACGCTGGCCGACTCCGCCCGGGCTTTGGAGGACGGCTCAGCTGTGGTGGAAGCAAAGCTCAGAGAGCTCCCACCAGGAGCTTACCAGCAACGAGGAGAAGCTCTTGGTGGACATGGTGGACTTGACACAGGAGTTCAACCCGAAAACCTCTGCGCCTGCAAGTGCCTGTGTCAGCTGCAACTCAGGCTCCGTCTCCGGCTGCGGACTACGAGGAGACTTCGGGGCCACGTCCCCCGACGACCGCTGTCTCTCCCGAATCCAGGAGGAGGCGGAAATCGCCATCGCCAGCTTGCTTGGACCTCCGAACAAGCTGCCGCTCGGCTAAAATGTGGGTCGGGGGGGCGGCAGCGCGGGTCGGCGGACGGCCGATGTCGTCTTACAGGTCCTCCGGCGCCGTGAAGCAGGCGTGGGAAGTCGTCCACCGCGAGGCGCCGGGACAGACTGAATCATATAGCCGATGGCCCTTGTCATCCTCCACTGAACACGGATTGTACCCTCTTCTTTTCCTCGTAGCTTCACAGCAAAGGTGCAAGGAACGCATTAATTCGTTTCCAGTACACATTTATCACAGTTGATCTGAAACAGACAATGTTCGATGGAGGAAGCGCCAGTAGCTGAAGACGTTGAGTACTCATGTACCGAATGCAAAGGAAATATAAGCACAGAGAGATTGCCATGCTCGCATTGCTTGCAGCGTTGGCTGTTGGCTCTTCGGAGTGCAGGCGAGCGATGGCTGGGTCCCGAAGGCGCGAGAGAAGGGCGCCCCTGAGGCCAGGCAACAGCGCTTCCGCTTAAGGCCTCGGAGCTTAAGAAAGCCGCTGGACTCAGGATGCTAAAGCACCGGCCCCTCGGCGATGTATGGGCTGCATGTCTCAGAGATCGTTGGGTCGCATGGGTCGCATCATGTTTGCCTTAGCCGGGACAGGCCTGGTCTGGGTAGCTAAATCGTGCGACCCATCGCGACCCAGCTGTGTTCAGAGGCCAAGAAGAAGAGCACCCGGAAGGCCTTGTGCAGCTTGCCACGGAAAGTGTGCACCACGGCGCATGCAAGGAAGAGAGCGCCGCTGAAGAGCAGGTCCACCCGCTGCCCGTGGCCTTCAGATGTCGAGCGAACGCAGCGAGAGTCGCGAGAGTGTTCCACTCTTCTCAGACCATTTTGGCCCACAGAGTGATGGTGACAGACACAATGCAGGCATTTTTTGACGGTTTGGCGAGTGCAAGGGATTACAAGGGCATGAGTAGCTGGGAGAAGGCAGCCACTCCAACCCCAAGCAGGCCAGTCCAGGCAAATGTAGAAACATCAGTTCTCTCAAGTGGCGTGTGTGGGGTGGGGCGGGCCATGGACGTGCCATGGACAAGGCAAGAGACAGAAGCCAAGAGTTTTCGCTTCGGACTTCTCCAAAGGCTGGTAGCAGCGCCTTCGATGAGCGAGGCCTCTGGGTGCTGCGGAGGCCGCCGGGCCGCATTGCCATAGCAGGGCTATAGGGCCGTGGGTCCGCCGGCAACCGCCGCAGTCCGCCGCCCCGTCGCTCAGGGTCAGCACGATCTTTGCCGTGCGCAAGGAGAAGCTGGAGCGGGCCCCAGTGGCAGCTGCCGCCCCGGCCAGAAGCTGTCGGGTCAACTCATAGCTTCTTCACACTGTCGTCACGTTGGTTTCGCTTGTACCGAATACGGTCGTGGGTCGTGGTGGTTGACATATCCGTGAAAGCATCTTCAGATTATCACTTTAGCGAGAAGGAGGAGCCAGTGGAATGTAGAATGGTCACATCCCTAGACGACATCCGGAAATGCACAGAGCACCGCGAATACGCATTGGTATATAATGGCTACGATCTGTCACATCTCCTTTATCCTAGCAAGCAGGCAGGGTATGGACTGGACCACAGATAAGATTCAGCTTGGGGTCCGTATCTGAACTTAATTTCAAGTGTAACATCAAGATAAACAGCAAGAGCACAAATAGATCAAATACCAGGTTGAGACCCAGAGCTTGGTAAATTATCGAGCAGATTTACAATCAGACGTCCAAAGCGATGTTTCATTTCAACACCGCCCTTCAAGCCGACTCACAAGTCATACTATAATAAGATATTAGTTGATTTTGAACCATATGCTGAAACAGTTAAGGTTGTTATAGGAAGCGTTACCATCGTAAGCAAGTTAAGAACATTGATTGTTTTAAGCGTTGCCATTGCACTAGTAACCACTCTTATTATTATGCCAAATTCACCCTGCGTTGTCCTGCATGCTTAGATAAGTCTGTCAAACAAATCGTGATCCAGTAAATCTAAAGAGTATATTCTTTTGAGGAAGGTGTCTCAAAGAAATAGCACATATATCGTAGCAGGGAAAATGGATTGCACAAACTTGACCACATACGAAATAAAAGCCAGATGCACAGTTAAGTTTTCAACCTGAAGTGAAACGCAATGGGGTATCATTTTGAATTTGCCGAGTTGCGAAAGTAAAATCAGGTGTATTCTTATACTTTTGATGCAGAAGACTCTGGCAACATTATGCGAGACATTCGAATGCTAGACAACAAAGCCATGGAAGATCAGGAGCGAGCGAAACAATGCTCAAAAAGGATTGAACACATTGACGTTCTTTGTCATTCAGACGGCGATATTGATACTAAGTATTTAGAAAACCTGAAAACGCAAAATACTGGAACAACCTAAGCATTCAGGAGAAAGAAGCCAAGCATGATCATCTCATCAATCCAAAAAATGTTCTGTTCGCAACAAAGTAATATTATAATGTAGATATGCGACTGCTTATGTGCTATAATTACATCATCGTTATTACATTTTCGGAGAATCCAGGAAGATAAAGCCTTTAATTAATTAACCCTAAACCCTGAACCAAATTCTACAAGACCCCCTTGCCTAGTTAGGCGTATGGCATGGTAACTTGGGTTGGGATCACCCTATGACGACTGAGATCTGTTAAGATACATGTTATCCGAGGGTGGGAGGTGAGATCTTGAGATAGACATTATCCTCGGGCGGGCGGGTGGGTGGTGAAAGAGGCAAGGTATCCTCTAACTGTATTTGGGTTAGCGGGTAGCAGGGGTCGCAGTTTTGGCCAGTGCTGAAGGCGACTCCCAAATTGCCAAGTCTTGCTAGAGGCTGTGCTGTGCTCTGCACGCCGAAGGTCGAAGGAGCAAATTTTTACCGTGGCCTCGGGACCCCAAGGGCTGCGCCAAGAGATGGCACCGAAACCGATAGGCCGATGGGACGGGCGGGATGGGACGGGCGGGATGGGCGGGATGGGGGGGATGGGGGCGGAGGGGAGCCTTCAATCGGCAGAAGCTTTGTCCAGCACGGCTAAGGAGAAGTTCCTTCAGCTCTTGGGCGAGGATGCGAATTCCAGCAGGCTGCTGAACCACTTCCTCAATGAGGCCAGCCGGACCGGCTGCTACAGCGGTAGGCGCAGTCGCTGAGTCGCTGAGTCGTCGCTGCGTCGTCGCTGCGAGGTGGAGGTCCCGGCGGTCTTTTTTCATTTGCCGCTTGGATGCCGCCCAAGGGGTCTGGGGAGCCCTTGACAGGTTGCTGCCTGCGTGCTTCGAGGTCAGGAAGCGGAGAGAGTTGCAGCGTTTCGACAGACCTGCCGACGGCCGGATGGGCACCGGACGGGCACCGGACGGGCGCCGGACGGACATGGCAAGGCCTGCACGGAGGGGCAAGTTTCAGCGTGGCGGGCCGCAGGCCGCGCAGCTCAAGAAGAAGGCGCGGCGGCCGCGGCGGCCACGGGGGCAGTTCGCGGATGCTCCAGCGGCTGCGCCTTTGCAGATTTCTGCGCAGGTCTTGGCCCTGGTGCGATCCAAGCAAGAGGTGGAGATCGACCTCGGGGGTCCCGGAAGGCGGCCCTGCGTGGTCTTCGTGGAGCTTGCAAAGGCGGGAAGAGGGAAGACAGGGAAGACAGGGAAGACTCCAAGGCTAGGGCCGCTAGGGACTAGGGACTTATGCTCCTCGCGGAGGGCATCATGGATTTGATCAACTCCTACTGCCACTCCGTCTACCTCTCCGTGCTCATGAACCCAGCGAACCAGCGGGGTTGGCCTCCGGCTCAGCCTCGGCGGGCCTCGGCTCCAGCTCAGGGCTTTGCAGTCAGCTCTGGTGCTCTTTGCCTCTTTGCTTCGCGTCTTCCGAGGTCGGACCTCATCACCCGGGACCTCTTGGACAAGTTTCACGGTGGGCATCACAGAACCTTACACCTTCTTTCGGTCGTTGTCTTCTCTTTTTAGGCGTGGCGGGTGTAGGAAGGAAGGACAATAAACAACTGTATACATATATGGTTGTGCGCTGTGCGTTCTCGCCCCCCCCCCCATGGTATCCCACCCCAAGTACCGGGGCCTGAAGCCTGGAGGCTTGGAGGACTCCCGCATCTCCCGCTACAGGCGCGCCGCACCGCGTATTGTACCCGGCTTGGCCCGCCCGCGATGCACCCGCGTAATTTCCACCGTAAGGATAGGTTTCGAGGCAAAACTGAGTAAAATTATTCCTACTCCGAAGGGCCTCCAAGCAGGGCTTCCTGCGAGCAGTAAGCAAAATGTTCTAGGCAACACTCAGCAATATTATTCGTGTGCCAAAATTTCCAAGCAAGGCTATGCAAAATTAGTTAGAGAAGGGTTCCAGGCAATACTTCGGAACAATACAGGAGAGCATGTGCTGAGAATGCCATACATACACAGACACGCGGTGGGTGTGTGTGTGTGTGTCTCCGTGTGTGTGTGTGTATGTGTCTCAGAGCAAAAGGGAAAACCATCCTGTTCCACAGGAGGGGTGGGGAGATAGAATGGCCATACATTCAGAAAGACATGGTGCGTGTGTGTGTGTGTGTGTGTGTGTGTGTGTCTCAGAGAAAAGGGAAAACTATCCTGTTCCACAAGGGGGGGCGGGTTGGAAAATAGGGCAAACCATCCTGTTCCACAGGCGGGGGTGGGGGGGGAATAGACAAGGCAAACCATGCTGTTCCACAGGGACGGGGGGCGGGTAGAATACGCGTCGATTACTGAACATATATAAGAGTACCTAGCAGGATACCATAGGGGGGGGGGACCGCCGGGGCGCAACCATATATAACTACCTATCGGGGCTTATCATAAGAACCTACAAAAAGGCAGGTTGCCGAGGTTCCTTTTTTTCTGCTGGTCTGGCCGGGGGGCGGCTTGGCCGTATCCTGCGCGCCTGGGCTTTCTTCTCTGAGGACACGGTTTTTCACCCCTTTCCACGCCTTATGTACATGCCTCTAACAACAGCAGTGTTTCTCTCCGCTTTCCATGTCAAAGCCAGGTTATGGTAGTTTAAGGTATATAACTAATTAAGCATTTATGTATGTATGTATGTACGTATGTACATATATATATATATATATATATATGCTCACGCCCCCCCCCATGATCCACCCGAACCTGCTTCTTGCAAACAGTGGATCATGGGAGGTGGGCAACCTCGGATGCGAAAACACCACCAGGCACCAATTTCCCCAAAGTTTGCAAAGCTGGAAGTGCGAAAACATCGACAGGCTCCAATTTCCCCAAAAGTCCCAAACTCTGAGCAACTATGGCCCGGCACGCCTCATAGATGCCGGGATTTTTGGGAAATTGGTGCCTGGCGAGGTTTTGGCACTTCCAGCTTCACAAAGTTTGGGGAAATTGGTGCCTGGCGGTGTTTTGGCAACCTCGGATGCGAAAACACCGCCAGGCACTAATTTCCACAAAATTCATACAGCTGAACTCTGACGGCCTCCATAGGTTCCAGGATTTTGGGGGTTTTGGGGAAATTGGTGCCTGGCGAGGTTTTGGCACTTCCTGTCTCACAAAGTTTGGGGAAATTGGTGCCTGGCGGTGTTTTGGCAACCTCGGATGCGAAAACACTGCCAGGCTCGAATCTCCAAGATTCCTGAAACCTGAAATGCAAGGTCATAGAAGAACAGCCGTACCATGTACTCATACATGAGCCTTCAATTGCTTCCGTTCTCAAGTGTGCTCTTGCTTCTTTCATCGAACAAAGTCATAGCTGTTGTTAAGATGACCTTTGCTCAATGAAAGAAATAGAAGAACAGCTGTACTTTAGAATATTGAAACCTGCTTGTGTTTGTGGATGCTTTAGAACGTTTTTTTTTTTTGCGAATGCACATGTTCGTTGAACTGTACATCATGTTCAGATACTGTCGAGTTCTTGTTTCTGCATCGAAGTAAGATCTTGCTAACCGTTTAAACTCTTGCCCGTAGCTTGAACAAAGAAGAAGTATTCCTTGTATTCTATATTACCTCACAAACTAAAGAAGCTGATAAGCTCCGATTTTTCATATCATTACATATAAAGTGAGTTCCCCAGTAGTACTGTCCTGCCGTATTATTTTGGGATTCCCTTGTTCAAACTGAATACCAGGAAAAACAGGTGCCATTCAGGCGACACTGGGGAACCTGGTAAATGAGCTTTCAATTGCTTCGATTACTGGCGGTACTAACTCTTCTCTCGTGGAGCTATATAACTCTTGCGAGTAGCGCGGTGCAACGGAGCTCGATTATGTGTTCTGAGCCAGGATCGTCTTGCATCTGTTAAAAAGAAAAAGCAACAAATGTGTTCAATAACGAATGCTTTCCAGATACATGCTTGTCTTAATTTCCAGGAAGTATAAAGCGTAACAAGCTCGACATACTCTGCTTGTGACCGAATGTATTTGGAGTTTGGTGGAGAGAGACCACGTCTTTCCCTAATCACTCCGATTTTGTGGTATTGGTATACTGCAAGAGCTCGTTGAGTTCCAGCCACTGAGTTCCAGCGATTGATAAGGGACTAAGGTGACTTATTGTGTTTTTTGTGCTGAAACAAGATTTCTATTGATAACACCACCTGAACAAGAACAACCATGCTTCCCTTGTCGGTTGAAATTTTGAAGATATGATGTTGTCCTAGGTTCCTTTAAAGCATGAAGATACATGGGGATTCCTTTCCATGTCTGATGGGCAACACCTCTGTTTAGTGTGGTTACAATGTTGCTACAAGTAGTAAGCCAAACATACCACTGGCATGTTTGCTTTCACTGAAGGAGTTGTCCTTACCGCTTATGTTAAGAAGAGAAGAGCGCACTCGTGCCCAGGGACGAGGTACGACAGTGTATGCTAGCGCCAGTATCCTTAGGTGAAACATCGAAGGTGTTTCGTTAGAAAACGTCGAGGGGGTTTTCCTCTGAAGCTAAACAGAACGAAGCCAGTCTGTTTGCTAGAGCGACTGCACATGGCCGGTGGAATGTGAGCTACTCCGTGGCCATTGTGCTGAAAGGCCGGCTGCTACTGGGGGGCAATTTTCGAGTGCCCACCCAACCCACCGTGGAGATTAGCTAGCCGAAGGCTAGAGTTCTTCTCCGGGCTAACGCGGGACTTCGCCACAACGCTAAAAAGAGAGAAGCTCGTGTTGTCCGTGCTAATGTGTGAAGCCAGTTAGCTAAAGCTAGGCTTGCTACGTACTCCCCGGGGGACGAGGTACGACAGTGTATGCTAGCGCCAGTATCCTTAGGTGAAACATCGAAGGTGTTTCGCTAGAAAACGTCGAAGGGGTTTTCTTCTGAAGCTAAACAGAACGAAGCCAGTCTGTTTGCTAGAGTGACTGCACATGGCCGGTGGAATGTGAGCTACTCCGTGGCCATTGTGCTGAAAGGCCGGCTGCTACTGGGGGGCAATATTCGAGTGCCCACCCAACCCACCCTGGAGATTAGCTAGCCGAAGGCTAGAGTTCTTCTCCCGGCGAACGCGGGACTTCGCCACAACGCTAAAAAGAGAGAAGCTCGTGTTGTCCGTGCTACTGTGTGAAGCCAGTTAGCTAAAGCTAGGCTTGCTACGTACTCCCCGGAGGTGTTGAGGGAGGTGGCGGGAGGATATGCTAGCTAGTGTACAGCTGTGTCTATTCAATCTGTACATCGTAAGTAGTTCGACAAACTCCAAGACAGGAAGGCCAAGTTCTGACTTGAACAGCAAGAGCTGATACGAAGCAGTAGATCAAGAGCGCGGCAGCAGAACCAGAATCCAGAACCAGAATCTGGTTTCGGTTTTGGCTTGTTTGTTTTTGCTTTAAAAGGGGACAAGCAGCATCTGTACATGTACATGAACTGCATAAAACACCGTAAATATCGATAGATTTTGACTTTAGCAATACGCAACTTGTACCAGAAGACAGTACAGGAGTAGTTGAGGAGAATGGGGGGTCGAGCCATCATGCATGTCAGATTGTGGCAAACGTGCAAAATGCAGTGATTGCAACATGCTCTGTGGCAACTGCGAAACTAATCTTGGCACAGGGGCCCTCTAATCTTGCTGGCACAGGGGCCCCAGCTTTGGCAGTACACACTCAAGCGTCCTCGAGTGCGCCACCACACTTCTTAGCTTCGTTGGCACGGCTCGAACTGTGGCGCCGTGCCGGTTGTGAGCCCCTTACCTCATGTGCGAGAGGAGTTCACACACACAAGTACGTGCAATCCTCCCTCTGGACTGGTAATAGTGTTTGTGAACTCAGTCTTTCAACATAAAGGTGTAGGATTCTAAGCCACTGGGCAGTAACAACATCTACTGGGGTTCTTGGCTTGGCCCCTCGCGACTTCCCATGCAGAAAAGCACTTGCGTTCACTAAAAAGTCCTCAAGCTGCCACACCTGTGACCCATGAGCGGCTCTCTGCAGGTACACGAGAGTGATCAATTCTCGCTTCCCACTCATGTGCACAGCCTCGTTGCATGTGGTAGGACATGAGTGCCACATGCCCCTGCGAAACGCTTGTAGAAAGGACTGACGGACCTTGGCAAACAGGTGTTCCACGCACACACACACACACCCCGCTTAGCGGGGTAGCCTGCTAGGGCTCAAGCTCTAGTAACGCAAGCACAGCAAATTTTGCACAACCTGCATCTTCGTTCAATACTTGCAGTTGCTTCCCGATTGTTGGGTATGCAAACTGCCATACTGTTAAAGACGTTGGCCAGCACAAATGTCGAAGAGTTAATTGCACATGCAAAAACTCGCTCTCACGGAGAAGCACTTCTCTTTCGCTTTCGAGGCGACGCCGAACATGTGGCTTTGTTGATAGGTGCAGTGGTAGTCTCGGTCGAGTTGGAGCTATGGCTCCACCACGTATCCGCAGTGGTTCGACTTTGGATCCACTGTTGTGTGGCAGGAAACCAAGTTTCCACCAACGGTCT